GAGCAACTGTTTTACCTGCTATCTAGCATGATTGTGGACATAGCGGTTGCTTGTTTTACCAACTTACCACGAGTCATAGTAATGAAATGCCAGGAGGATGCAATTGAGAAACGAGAGGCTAGTGTTGGGGCTGCAGCGGAGCTTCTTGGTAGTACTAAGAAGGTAATAGAAAAAGTTGATGCGTGTGAAGTACCAAACTTGGATCCTGGGCAAATGGCATTTATTGACGAGTGGCGTCTTCATTTTAAGCAATCAATCCCTTAGAATGTACATGCATATACGTACTCTACACACACACACACACATATATATATATATATATTGTTATGTTTTAAACAGGTAGATATCACTCTGACGTACTCTTGAAAAATGTATGTGCGGTTTGAGCCGACAATTGGTAAATGGTCGGAGGCCTATAATTACTGCATTAGAGTACATTAGACAATATTTGATGAAAAAGATTGTCAATAGTCAAAAGGTTATTGCAAAACTTGATGGACCGTTCACTCTAACAACCACCAATTTGTTAGGCAACATCAAGACAAAGGTGTTGAATATAATGTAATATGGAATGGAGGAAACAAGTATGAGGTGATTGGACCTTGCCAAGATCAAGACCGTTAATTCAATATAATAACCGAACAACAGTTTAGCCTAATTCATACAGACAATTAAATCTATACATACAACTTTATTTATATATGACTTAATAAAACAAAAAATAATAATACCTCGGATTCGTGACTCCAAGTGTATCCAATGTTATTGGAATGTAATCAGTGTATGACAAATACATTGCGCAAACGTCAACAAAGCTCCAAATTCTATGGCTGACCATAAGACCACACTACTAGAAAATAGGGTATAGTGACGGAATTTTGTGATAGAAACAATCCCTAACTAATTAGCGACGGGTAAGCCACAAACTCATTCCGTCGCTAATTAGCGAGGGAATGGTTTGTGGCCTATCCATCACTAATTAGCGAGGGATTACTTTCGTGGCTAATCGACAGGTTTTGTATAAAAAATACAGGGACGGATAATCCTTATAATCTTTGTTATATGTTGGTCATATTGTTGGCGGTCGTTGAAGGCATTGTTTTTCATGACACCCATCGCCTCGGGTAGTGATGATATATAAGACCTTAGCAATTATGTTTTGCAGATTGAAGATGAGATGGAGTTGGCAGAGATGACAGTGAAGGGCATTTCGAATTCCATGAATCGCTTGATTCAGAAAGTTAACAAGGAACAACACAATGATCTTTTAGAGCTTCTTGGTAAATCAATTGGTTTCGAGGGAGTAGAGGAGTTTGACATCGATCAGGTTCAACCTCTCCTTTCTGTTGAACCTGTTAATAGTTGGAGCTTACCGATAGTAACCTTAACGTGTATTGCTGTTTCTCTGCCGAACATTCGTGAGGGAAAAGTTGAGCGCTTGTTGAAAGGTGTTGGACCGTTGGTGACTGTCTCTCGTACACCCATCTTGTGGAAGAAAGCCTCAATGGTGGCAGTGAATATGCGAATGTTCGAAGGACAACAAGTAACTTATGGCACGAGGTTGAAGACAACTACAAGTGGTTGGGGATCACTCTAGAGAAAAATGCATATAAAGGAAAGACATCAATGGAGATTCTTCAATGGTTTGTTGATAAAGCTGGAGAAGTTGTAATAAAAATGAAGGGAAATACCAACGAGGAACTAAAGGAGAGTTTTCCTAGAGATTTGATCGCTGGTAATTCGATGTATCGTATTGCACAAACAATCCTGCTTACCCGCCAAAGCAACATCGAATCGATTAGCGAAGAGCAGGTATTTGAGTCATTATCTTGCATGATTTCTGATATATTCTCTGAGTGCTTCACTAACATACCACGAGTCATAGCAACAAAATGCGATGAAAGTGTGATAGAGAAACGAGTGGCAAGTGTCGAGGCTGCGACCAAACTTCTTGGTAGGAGCACGGAGATCGTAACAAATCTTGAAGGGTGTGAACTACCAGACATGGATCGAGATAAAATTGCATTCATCGACGAGTGGCGTACTCATTTGAAGCGATCGATCCCCTAGAATTCATTATCATTCATCAAAAACTAAACGATTGATTGTTGGTTTACTCTTGATTTTGCTTTGTTTGTCGCTGGATCATGTGTTTCGTCTATTTCCAATCACGTTGCCAGACCGTGTGAGAATATATGGAACATCAATAATTAGATTTTAGAGTCCTTAAGGAGATAGATATATTCGAACATGTATTGAAGGGAAAGTGTCTAAGTCTAGCTGATGTGAAACTCTAACAACCCCCTCCAACAAAGGGTAGACGACGTGAGACTCTTTAACATATTTACCTCCCAAAAAGGCCCTTTCAGTAGAGTAGTGGTCAAAACATTTGCTATTCATTTCTTCTTTATATATGCTGAAACGTTCATTCTCTCTCCTCGAGAGCACTTTTAGAGATTAATCTAATGGGGTTCTATGTATTTTCAAATTGTATCACAGTCAAGGTCTACCATTCTAGGGACTTGAATTTGGGACCTCTCCCCTCCTCTGATTTTTGGTTAAAAAAAGCCAGTTTTTCTAAAACAACTAGTTTTCTAAGAGCATCAACAGTGAAGGTTGTTATTAAGGTTTCTCTTCAAGCTTTTATAAAAACCTCTACTGTGAGACATATGTTCTTGTCCATCACAAGTTCTTAATAGAACTCAGATGTTTAAAACAAATATACGTGATTATAGGATAATCATTGACCACCTTAAAAATAAATTATGTAGCGATAAATAGTTTATTGCCATGGTTTTCTTTATTTTGTCTAACGTCAGTTTGTGTGGAGATAAGTAGTTTACGGCCACGGTATAGTAAAAATGCTCCAATACCATAAAAATTAGATACTTTTATAGCCACAGTTTTTATGCTATGGCTATGGTATTTAATTTGATATAGTAACGCATTTTAAATGCAGCCAAAAGGGTATCAATGATCACGGGAGAATAGGCTACGATTTGATAGAAAAAATTGTGGCCTAAGGCCTATGGTCACGGTTTTTAACAGTGGCAAATGTGAGTTTTTGTACTAGTAATCTGCCTAGAAGCAGACACCCTTGAAAGAGCTATAATCAGCAATCAGATAATTAATGGATTCATCTAATCTTTAAAAATGCAATCATCTTTAAACAAAAAAGAGACCAGAATGAGATGCACAATTGAACAATAAAAGATTTGAGGGAAGAAACATAGGCAACGGGAAAAAAAATCTTATAATGGGGCATGGTCCGGGATAACGGGAAAGGAAAAAAAGGAAATGGGGGAATCTGAAGTAGCAACGATCTTTGTCATGATCATTAGTTCTTCACCATCGTCGTCATCTGTGAGTGAGAAGTAGGAATGGATTTGCTACTAAAATTCCTGCTCATACATGAAACCAGAATAACGAGCAAGTGCATCTTCAACTACTTTATCTGTGACTGGTATTTCTTTCCTGTATTTCTAATACTTCATACAATACCCAATAAATAACAAATACATAAAGCTTATAAAAGATGATATCAAGAGTGGAAAATCAGGATTACGTCTCTTGAATCTCTACTTTAAAGAGTCATGTTCGACTTTTCGTGTACGGGAATGTGAGTAAAGTATACACCTATTTAAGGTTTTAGTTTTTTAAGTTTCCATTTTATGTTTATTTAAATATTATGTACCGTAAATAATTATCATTTATCCCTCAAGTTATCAATTAAAAGAACCTTACACCTTACAAAATAGTGCGTTGTAACGTGCCATAACATGTCATAACGCACCATAACACATTACAATGCAAGTCAAGCCTTAGAGTGGAGGCATAGGGGTTAACGTGACGGCGAACCCAAACCTTAACGCCATAACGAGTTACTTAGACCATAAGTAATACCAATGTCAATAATTCGTATTTTGCCTTTATGTTTTTCTTTACTCTTTTCCCGTCGTATTACAATCTCTTTACTTTTCTTTTTATGAATGAAATGACAAGCATCCATCACACTGAAATTAAGAGAATCGGCACAACGAGATTCTTTATGGTAGCAAAAGTATTAGTAGACCCTTCAATAATTGTCAATTCCACTAATAATTTGTACTTACACGTGATTACGAGCGGTCTTATTATTATTTGAATCATATAAATCGTGTGAAACCCGTGGTGATTTCATTTTCTTACTAATTATTTTATCAATTTTAATGATAGTTTAAAAAGATTGATTAAAAGAGAACGAGATTTTCTCTTTTAGTATTCAAAGAAATTCATAGGCCATTCGATTGTGCTTGTTGAACGTTTTGATGCAATATCTTTGAAACAAATTGGTATATGTTATATAAAGATATCCATCTTTTGTTATGTGGACCATCCGACCTTTTCTAAAACATTTSTAACATGAATCCACATCGTTCTCCATTATCATGATCGTTACGCAAACTTTATAAGCATTATAATTAGGGGTGCTAAAAAACCCGACCAACCCAACCCAATCCAATGCGAAATAACTCAACCCAAAGCAACCCGAGTTGTAAAATTGTCAAACCTTAGGTATTGGGTTGATATTGGGTTACTATTATTTGAACTCAACCCGATGAACCCGATATCCTTTTATTTCTTGGATTTAATATGATTGTTGAATTTTTATTAATATATACATTAAACAATTACACTATCATGTATGCTTTTCATATACACATGTTTTCAATCTATTCACATCTTTATATAACTCATTCGTTTATATGTTCAATAACTGTGAACATATATATGTAAATTGAGAAAATAAACTGAATGTGATATACATAAGAAATATAGATAAGTTGTATCAAATGGTTGATGATAAAAAAGAAATTATGAATAGAGAAATAACATATTCAAGGTTAGAAGAATATTTAATGTATCAAAGTATCAACCCGACTAACCCGATCAACCCATATGGGTTGGGTTGGGTTGCACTTTGGTTTAGGTTGGGTTGGGTTAAGATTTTTTCAAACCGCAAGCATTGGGTTCGGTTGTTCAAATGTCTTCAACCCGATCAACCCAACCCATGAACACCCCTAATTATAACATCTCACTTTTTGTTATGAAAAGAACAATATAAAACAAACATAGCATAACTTTAATGGCTCAAAAATTAAGTATATGTACGGCAAATATAAGCTAGCGTATTTTAAAAACTCGTTTGGATGGACAAAAAGTAGTTTGTAAACTAACTTATTGTAACGATATCTGGAGTAACGTTTTAAGAGTTTTTTTTGACAAAATTTTCAATTATAACCTTGATTAATTATTATTTATTAATATTAATTAATTAATCTTATTTATTCATCAAATTTTAACTATTAATTATTTAAAATTATTATCAATCATATCAAGTAATTTACATTATAATTTTTAGTTATTATTGAGTAATTTACCCATCAAAAACCAAATATAACAATTCTAAAAATGTTTA